ATATTATGGAGAATGCAAATGGATTTTGTGCCATGTTGACGCTAACAGCTTATAGAAACTCACACGAGGATAAATGTGCGCATTGGTTAAAGTATTTAGTACACAGTATTAGACAAAAATACTGTATAAGGAACAAGATTTTACGTTTCTGTAGAGCCCTGGAAACCATTTCATTTGTTATAAACATACATATCCACACGAGTTTTCAAAAATGCCCATAGTCATTGGTTTACTAGAGATTGTTATTGCCCACACACAATGGGCTAGACATCTTACCATAGAGGTCCTAAGTTTTTGTCTAGTTACCTGTAAAGAACACTCAACTTGAAGAAAAATGAGAGGCAGCCTGATTTTAGGCAGAAGTTACAATAGGTTCTGGAAAAGGACCTTATGAAAGACATACTACATAAATAACTCAACTGTTAGAGCTTGATGCACCTCGTGTTTATATATATGTTCTCATTTTCGAAGTATTTAAGGACAAAAGTTTTAGGAAAAGAAGATGATAAACAAGCAAGTTGTCTTAAACCTAGCCACATACCATGTTTCAGATAGAACACATTTGTAACGCCGTAAATTATTGAAATGGTAAGAGGGATTTGGATTAATTCATCAGAGATTTGTGCCAAACTCGTGTTTGATTTGCATCGACGAAAACCGAAGAAAAGGAAAGTATAGAATAAGTAGAATAGAAGGGGAAATAAGATGGATGGAATCGTAATTTAATAAGTTTCTTCTTTTCATTTCCTTCTCTAAACATTCAGAGCAGGAAGGGTTTAAAACATATTAAAATTATGCATCCAATACGAGAACTAATCAAATTTTTTAATACTCAATATTTAGTAAAGAATGTTCTGAACTTTAATCACAAGTCTCAGAGCATGGCGCAACGGTAAGTTGATATCAGGATATTCCAGACTTCTTAGAGAACTATATCTTCAAGAAGGTATATATGCTGAAAAGATGTTCCGTTGTTATTTTGTCAGTTTCTAATGGGACGATCACATATATTGTGCTGTATCGACTGTCATTATGACAACTGAATTATTGTAGAAATATAGCCTAATAACTAACTTAAGTATACACCTATAAGGTACCCAATTTAAATCACTTCAAAGTCATGAAAACACTGAAGATTGATGCATAACTCAATAATTATCAAATAAGAGATGGGCATGTCATAGTAATTTAAACATATTACAAGAGATAAAAGAGCAAACATCCAGCAGGGAGTCCTAAACATTTTCTCAGAAAGCCTTTCCCGTTACCCTTAGAAGTCCCTTGCTCCGGGAAAGAGCCCTTTTCTCCGACACCGATAATAATCAAGCTATTATTCAGTCTTAGAAGGAAGATGCACTTCTCTGATTTAGATATCCATCCATTTATGGATTAGTACACTAAAATAGCCCCAGTGCTTGATTTAAGAAAGGACAACAGAAAGGCAGAGGAAAAACCACTGGAAATGAAATTTGGAGTCAACATATAGCCAACCTTCAGCAGAATCCAATGATTAATGCAACTATTAATCTTCCTCCTCAACCCTGAATGAAATAATTAGCAAGAAAAGTGTAACATGCATATGGTATAGCAAGAAAATGAATAGTTAATTAGCATTCTCACTAGATGCTAAAGGTTCGCTTGAGGCGGTAAAACTTACTTTGGCTTGTCAGTTAAAGTAACCAGAGCTCTAAGTACACCTGGACTGATCTTGTCAGCAAGAACACCCTTTTCGGAAATCGAAAATGACTTTTCTTTGACATAGCTTTGAAGTTTTTTAGATTCGTAATCAATATGTGTTTGATCTGCATGACATTGTATACTAGCTATAAGCAAACAAACATCAAGACTTCCACCAGAGCAGATATATAGTTTAACGTGAATGATTGAATCAGCTTAAAGTCCAGTTTAATTACATATTCTCCTCCATGATCATAAAGTGCACGGGATACACAGTCACGCTGCTACACTAGCACATGATAGCAGATATGCCAGTCTAAGTTTATTCCATTTTCATATTTTCTTTACAATCCAAGATTTCTTTAGTTTCCCTATATATTTTACAACACTGGTAACAAGAGAACCCAAGACAGCGAAATTATATTACTGACAGCTGAATGGGAGTAAGAGGAAGTAGTAATTAATTAGCTTGAATTTACATTAAGAAAATCCTCCTGCCCAGATCTCAATTATGGAACTTCTGTGCATTTTAACAAGTCCATCAGAAAAAGATACAGACACTTAACAGCTTTATGGTCTTACTTGCTTCACTACCTTCGCATGCGATGCAATATTGTATTAAGATTTCAAAATTACTGGGACACTATAGGACTCTCAGTTAGTCAACTTCTACGAAGGTAGCATGGACAGGCAACTGCGTTTATACCTTCCTTGTTGGAGGGGTGACAATTCGTTATCTACAAAGGTAGCATGGACAGGCAACTGCGTTTATACCTTCCTTGTTGGAGGGGCGACAATTCGTTAAACTGCCAAATAGTGTTTATATCATATGCTAAGATCAAAGACGATTCAAGAGTGCCAATTTTAGTAGGATTGTTTGCCATCTTATTTTACGGCTAGCAGTTCTGGATAAATTTACTTTTTCATTGCCAGAAATCAAGTTTCTTAAACATCTACTAGTCGAAAAGAAGCTTAATTGCTAGTAAATTTGTGTTTCAATAACAATTGAATAAAATGTGATCTATAGCTTATATAAATGTATTTGGTGTTTTACAGACCAATCTTGGTAGAGCCACGAATAGCCACTTCTATAAAATTGAGGCAACGCTGTTGACTGGAACGGGTACAATCTTTTAGGTAAAAGTTCAAAAATTATACATTCCAAGTCTAGTGGAGCTTTATGTAGGGCAAAAATTACCAATACATACATTCGAAACATGGTTATACTATGCACAGAATAATCATTTCCCGGTACTGAACAATATTTTGGGGTTCTTAAAATAGAAATTAAGACATTTACGGTAGTTTCGTTGCAACTAATTGAAAACAAAAGGCAGGATATGGCCTCCTCATTATCAGGAAATGATTATTCTATTCATAGTATAACCATGTTTTGTTAGAAATCTCGAAGATTGCACAATTATTGATTTTACCATATTTTCACATTGCCTTATTTAGACTTACAGTAATTAGAATTGTTAATTTAGGATTAATTTTTCCTCCTAATTTAGGAGATTCTTTTACTTTTTCTTCCTCTCCATTGTATTATATATTGAGGGCTATAATATCACTTTAACTTTAATATAAACAAAAATACAGATTTTATTTCTGCTTTTATGGTATCACAACAGGCTCTCTAAAGCCTAACAAATCATAACGACAGTCCCTGTCAACAGTCAAAGTTCTACAACGTTTGAATTCTAGCACAGTGAGGTCAAAACCACCCATACAATGGGATGGACTAGTGTAGAGAACTCCTTTCAACTCACAGTAGAGAAATTTAATGGGAGAAATTATAGGCAGTGGACTCAATCAATTAGATTGATAATCGATGGCAAAGAAAAATTGGGCTACCTGACCGAAGCAGCGAAGAAGCCAACTGACACCTCTCATCTATTGAAATGGCAATCTGAAAACTCCATGGTCATAGCCTGGTTGGTGAACTCGATGCTACCATCCATAGGAAAAACGTATCTTTTCCTCCCAACATCGAATGACGTCTGAAATGCTGCTATAGAGATGTAATCTAACTCAGAAAATTCCTCCCCGGTCACAGCTTGGTTGGTGAATTCGATGCTGCCATCTATAGGAAAAATGTTTCTTTTTCTCCCAACATCGAATGACGTCTAGAATGCCGTTAAAGAGATGTACTCCGATTTAAAAAATTCCTCCCAAATTTTCGAGATTAAAACTAGATTATGGCAAGATCCAAAAAGGGAATCAGTGTTTCACAACGGAAATATATTCATAACATCTTAACAGAAACAGGCACGCCTGGATGTAAGTCAAGTGACACACCTATTGAGGCTGGAGAGAAAAAGACAATGAAAATCCACTTGAAAAGGACAAATATCAACAACTTGTTGAAAAACTAATTTACTTATCTCATACTAGACCTGACATTGCCTTTGTGGTAAGTGGTAAGCCAACATATACATAGCTTAAAGGAAATTCCCATGGAAGTGGTATACAGAATTCTAAAGCATCTCAAAGGCTCTTCAGGAAAAATGAATATTTTTCAAGAAGAATGAAAGGAAGAAAGTGGAAATATTCATAGATGTAAACAGGGCAAGTTTAACAGATGATAGAAGATCCACTACAGGTTATTGTACCTTTGTATGGGAAAACTTGGTGAAACAACGTGTTGTGGCAAGAAGCAGTACTGAAGCTGAGTACAGAACAATTCCTCAAGGGATGTGTGAAGGATTGTGGTTTAAGAAACTTTTGGAAAAACTACAAGTCACAATAGAACTTTCAATCAAGCTTTATTGTGATAACAAAACAGCCATCAACATTTTTCTCAATCCGGTTCAACAAGATAGGACCAAACATATACAAGTGGACGGACACTTCATCAAAAAAAATGTTGAAGATGAAGATGTCTGTATGACCTATGTTCCTATTAAGGAGCACATTGCAGATATATTCACCAAGGGAAGGGCCGGACAAAGTTTCGATGATTTCACATGCAAGTTGGAAATGGTCAACATTTACCATCCAATTTAAGGGAGAATGTTAGAAATCTTGAAGATTGCACGATTATTGAAATTAACATATTTCCACATTGCCTTATCTAGACTTACTGTAATTAGGACTGTTAATTTAGGATTAATTTGTCCTCCTCTTAATTTAGAAAATTCTTTTCCTTTTTCTTCCTCTCCATTGTATTATATGTTGAGGGCTATACTATTACTTTAATATACACAGATACAGATTTTACTTCTGCTTTCATGTTTCGAATATATGTATCTTGTGGTTTTAGAATGCCTTCCTCTACAGCAATCCTTACCAATATTCATTACGTCTTTCTAGTTCAGCACTTATCCTAGAAGTTCCAAGTTTGTAAAGGGATTTATATTTATTTTATTTATTTATTCTTTTTTTTTTTTTTTTGGGGGGGGGGGGGGGGGGGGGGGGGGGGGGGGGGCGTTAATTAATAAAAAGTTGACGATAAAAATTCAATAAAAAGGTCAAAAAGATGAGTGCTATAATAATACTTAGGACAATAAGTAAAATTAGAATATCATAAGATAAATAGAAGAAGTGATTCAATTTTGTCTCAATTCACGTGTTATTGTTCTTGCACGCTTTTATCAACGATAATTATGGATAGTCAAGTTGCAGGACACATAGGCCATAGCTCTGTTGTTTTTAGAGTTTGACGTTACTCCTTCGAAACCAATTCAACAGAATCACCTGAATGTAAAGAAATGATCAACAAGATCCAAAAAGTAATTCGAGCCCACCGACTTCACGATATTTCTTTAAAACGAATTTGCTGCCTTCAATGGTGCAAAAGGCGTCCAGCAATCGTTTTTCAAGATAGAATTTTTTTTTTTTTTTTTTTTTTTTTGTTTTTTGTGGGGGGGGGGGGGGGGGGGGGGGGGAATTGGTGGCTGGAATTCCCTAATGGAGAAGTTGAAAATCAAGATAAAGGTACTTCGAAATACAACCTATGTACATTATTGAATGAACATTTGTCAAAAAGATATATAAAATACCTTTCTCTAAAATGGTATGAGCAGCATGGAATGGAATGCTGGCGAAAAGATCAGTGCCCGGAAACATTAACCATGTCTTCTCTTTTGAATCGTGATCACCACAGCTTGCACAGATTTCTTTCACCAGCGGCCTTGATTCAACATCCCTCATTATTGACTCGAACGGCAAAGGGACACTAGTCTTTGTCGTTTGAGCTCTCCTTCTTAATGCCGTCAAAGCTTCCCTATTCCCCTGTCTCACTCTGTCATTTTCAACCAACTGCAACGCATTACCCAGAAATCAGGAAACTGTTGAGATAAAAATGAAAATATTTCTTTCTAAGAACAATAGTTTTTCAAATTTAATTACCTGATGGCGAGCTAATAGAAGATTTTCAGCTTCCATTTCAACTTCAATGAGGCCTTGCTGGAATTCTTTCATTATTTCATTCATTTTGCTTCCCAAACAAAATAACCTGAGAGTGGTGCTTAAATTGTCAAATATGCTTCATTTGTAATACAATTATATTAACTGAACTGCAGATTAAGCATACATACGATGCTTCAATACTAGGCTTTAACATATAAAATCTTCATAGAATACTCTGAAGATGGAACTCTCAAAATTTAAAAAGAAAAAAGAAGGAAATCAAGAACTCCTGATAAAACAAGCAAGTGATTCTGCAGAAAACAGACTAGGGTTTTCATTCAAGTGAATAGTGACACTTTCGTTTAAACTCTTTTTTCTCCACTTTGCGCTCAATTGTTTCCACTCCGGTTTATTTTTTCGCTGTATATTTTAAACAAATGAACCAAGTGCACATTTCTTTCCATCCATTCTCCCCCCTTCCTGGCTCTCTCTCTTTTCTCCTCTCCTCTCCTCTTATAGAATTTTACTTACTGGAGCAAACATACTGCATCAAGAGGAGGTTGAATTTTTAAACAAAAACTAATTACATTTATATTCTACTTTTCATTTTTTTTTTTTTTTTAAATATAGGTAATTACACTTATATTCCACTTTTAATCCAGTAAAGGTAGACTAATAATTTACAGAAAATAGGGCAATGCTGTCCCTTTATTAGTCTTTCTATCAGATAAAATCCTTCATTGTCGATTATCTTTATTTATTGTTACAGGGTGCCTAGTTGTGTAATATATTGTTACAATCTACTGTCATGTTATGAAGTATAATATACTTAATTATAGGAGAATTGTAGCAACGGTACCAAAACCTTTTATTGAGTAGCAGACTTGACACAAACCTTTCATTTGTGCCACCCACGATACCAACATTTCAATAATTCATACCTGAAGTCCAAACCCATTCATTTGACTTATAGTTGACCATAAAAATAAATTTTGACCTCTTTTGACCAATGTAAAAGGGGTAAAATGGAAGTTTTATATTATTTTACACAAAATAATGCTATAATAATTAAATGAAAAGACAACGGAGAAAAGGGAGGACTCTCAGAGAACCACTACCACCTTCCACCGTCACCGCCAACGCTATCGCCATCTTCAACTCCACCAATCATCCTGGGTAGTATTGATGACTTCATTAATTTTTTGTGTTTAAGCATAATGCTTTCTTCTTACTACAGCCGAACCGGGCCCGTGGACAAGGTAGGAGACCGTACTTCGACAACCCTTCAGGCTTCAACCCTCAATTCGTTTCTGGTGACTCCATTTCCAGTTAGTATGGGACACTAATTGTGGTTTCTACTCCATGTCAGCCCAATTACAGTACCATTCCTCCGCCTCAATACGATTTGGGTCAACAGTTACCGGGCCAATCCCTCAACAGCGTTCTAGACCGCCACCACAGTTTTCGTAGACAACATGATCAGAAATGTAGACAACAGCAGCTGTAGTTCAGGTCGGGAGCTTCAAAGTCTGCGGATTACAAGAATTGGGAGTGTGTGAAGCCAGGACCCCTTCCTTATTGAAGTCATCAATTTTTGTTTTTTATTTTGGTTTTGATCATTGTGAATTACTATTGAATCTGTAATAGTTAAAGGTGGAGGTGGAAGGTGGCAATCTCTTTTTGATTTGGGGAAGATGGGGAAGAAGGAGAGTCCTTCCTTTTCTCTTTTATTTCTTTATATTTTTATTTAATTATTATAATATTATTTTATGCGAAATAATATAAAAGTACCATTTTACCTGTTTTACGTTGGTCAAAAGTGGTCAAAAAAATTTTAATGGTCAACTAACAGTTTGGACTCCAAGTACAAAATTTTGAAAGATTTGATATCGTGGCGTCTGGTACCAAATGAAAGGTCTAGTACCTCTCCTTATTTAATAGTTTAACATGCTCAAAGTTTTAACTTTAACACATTCTTTTAAGAATAAAGATGCTTGGCCACCATGTGGCTCCTAGTAGGGGCGAAAACAGGATTTTAGTTAAGTGCGGACAAATTTTTTTTGACGCTGTAAGTCGAGGTTTTGGTCATAGATTTAATGATTCAGTGCAATTCACAACTTCACATAATCAATTTACATTCCAATTCACACTTTCACATAATGAATTCACAATCACAATGCAATATATACTATCAATCCAATTCAATTCACAACTTCATAATGCAATATATATTATTTCCAAATTTCAACTTCCAAGTGACAGTGTAAACAACTGTTGTGTATGTAGCTCATATAGAATGGAACACAGGTTCCCTTGATCAAATGGGCCGATATCGAAGCGAAGCGGAATGGAGTGAAAGGAGCGTAGCGAAGCGACGGCATCAGCCTTGCGCATGTTTAATTCACTGTCTGGTTGCTAGGGACGCTAAATAGGTTAGGGTTGCGAGGGCAACGCCCTGTGGTATGGTAAAATGTTTTTTTCTTGTACGGACCGTAAAATCTTATATGTGCCCAAACTAGAGTTAGTATAAATAATATGTTGTAACCTTATTTTTCACTACCGAATAAAATTATCTTCGTTTCGCTCTCGTGGACGTAGGCACACTGTCGAACAACGTAAATTCTTTTGTTGATTTCTATATTTCATCTCTTTATTATTGCGGATAAAATCCAACAGCAACTTACAATCGCAGATTCGTAGAGAGCCAGAGGCAACAATGAACTGGTCCACTGGAAGTCCGTGCCAAAATCAATTGAAGAGCAACGTGTAGAAAGTACTGCTTCGAGCAATTGAAGAACAAAGCACTAATTTCTCACTGATGGAAATTTGGGCTTTACCTTTTTCTTTTGCTGGCTGCCCAACCAATTCAAAAATCAAAATCATCTTCTTTTGTTACAATTTAATGAGCAACCGACGGAGCTGCTATAATGTGCAAGCGTTGCTTGCTAGTTTGCAAGGCTACAACAGTCCAACGGAGGTCAGGACTCGGAGCAGGAGGAGAATGTAGAGTCGATTGGAGATGGGAGCAAGTCTGCTGGCTCCGGGAGTACGTACCGTCAAAGATGGCAAGGGGAACAGCGGGCAGTTATGGGAAGTGTGAAGGGACGAAATCACAAAGGGTTGAAGTGATTCTGTGATTGAATCGAAGAGCAATCAATTGAGAATTTGAGGGGAATGAGTCGTAGGGTCAGTAAATGGGTCATAAGCATTGGGCTTATCTAGGCTAGACAATGAAAGTGAGTTATAAAAAGGGGAAAAATCCATAATTAAGAGGTTAAGTATTACTTATTTCAAAACTCTAAACAAAAGTGTTTAAATTTCAAAAATCAGTTTTTTATTAAAATTTAGTTATGATTTAATTAATTAATTTAGTATATTAAGGTCACAAATCCATACAATTTGGTCACAAATTAACGATTTAGTTAATCATATATTATTTTTCAATCATGAATAAAAAATTTCATAGATCAAAAATTATTTGACAACCACATATCAAAAATTTCATAGGTTACAATTTGTTCATCGGTCACAAATAAAAAATAATAATAAATAAAAAAATAGGTCACAATTTATTTATCAATAGTAAATTACAAATTTCATAAGTCACAATTTATTATATTGTCAAAAATTATTAAATTATTGGTCACAAATTAATAAAATTTTAGGTAATGTATTATTCTTTGGTCACAATTTATCAGAATGATCCTTTTCTTTACAAGTTTCCCCTCAGCATCAATAGTGGACGACGATCCATTAGAAGGGAAAGCTAAATCCTTAAACCCATGATTCATTTTGTACCCATTCACATGATTCTCTACAGGTAATACTGGTTTTGAGCAGCAATTGAACTTAAAATCATTTGTAGGAGCCAAATATTGCCCAACAAAATCCATAAGAACGAGGGACAAAAAGATTGAAAATTAAGAACTGGGCTTCCTAAATTTATGAAATAAATAATGAATTCAGCAACTGAGATGAATTTTAAAACACACAAAAAAATAATAATAACAGTTAAGAAAAAATGACAAAAAAATTGAAAAATTAGAATTTAGAATAATGACTAAATAGTACCTGCAAGAGGAAAAGAGAGATACAATGAATCAAGACAGGAATCTAGATCTCGAGCTAAGGTTTGACAATTGAAACAAATGTTTGAACGAGGCGAGATAACGAGGCACAGTGGTGGTGTCAGGCCGCTTCACTCAGACGGCTTCCAGTGGCTTCACTCCAGCGGTCCTTTCCGATAGAGAGAGATGCCAGAATATAGAGAGAGAGAGAAGAAAGAGGAAATTATATATTAATTGATTTTTAAATATATTAATTAGTTAACAAAAAAAAAAAAAATCTGATTATTGATATATTAAAAGCCTGTTTGGGAGGGATTTTTTACTTCAAAAAATTAATTTTTTGACCCTTATTTCACTATATCAATCGTAATTTTTGACTTTTTCTCTCACAAGTGGATCTCTCTTTTCTTCTAACGGTCAAAAAATCAATTCCCAAAATCTCGGGACCTAAACATAACACGTGATATATGAAATGAGATGTGGTAGTTTTTGTAATTTCCAAAAAAAAAAAAAAAAAAAAAAAAAAAAAAAAAAAATATTTAATAATGTTATACCACGTAAGATGTCATCTATGATGACTATTGCGCTCGTTGATTATGAATTCTAAGAAATATTGTACAAAAATATTTCATTTTAATTGGCAATTTTCATGTAAAACAAAGTTAAATGAACACCAAAAGATAAATTATTTTTTTGATTTTTTATTTTTTTTGTTGGCAATGAAAACAAATTTCATTTCCAATACCAGTAAAATATATTCCTTTAATTGATAATTTTCATGTAAAACAAAGTCAAACGAACACCAAAAAACACTTTTATTTTAATATTTTTCATGTGAAAAATTATACCAATCAAACACAATAATTTACAATTCCCAAAAAACAATTTCTAGGTAATTCAATTCCTTAGAATTCATTTTCAATTCAATTACATTTTTACAATCAAACGGACCCTTAAAGTAATTTCATGTAGACTTATTGCAACTTTGATTAATAAATACTCATTTCAGTGTCCTAACCAAAAGTATGAAACAAAATTTCAGCAAAATTTATAACTAAATTTCAACTTCATTTCCCAAAATGTATATAAAGAATAAAAGAATAAACCAAAAATAGGCAAGATAAGTTTTCCACCAATCTCTAACTTGCAATAATCAATTTATGGGGACTTAAAAATGCTCTTCTGATTATTTTCCTAAAGCCCTCCTTCAGACTTAAACATGAATTTTCAGGAAGAATCTCCAAAGTTCATAAAATTGACATATATAAGTGGACGGCAGAAAAATTCATAAAAAAATAAAATCGATGACAAAAAAGAAAATTAGTACACAGATTTTCGTTCAGCTTTGAACAAATGAAGAAGTTTCAATCCTCAATAGTTTCTGAACAGTTAGACAGAAAAATAAAAGAATTCTTTTTAAGAAAGAAAAAGAATTTTACGCAACTAGACATGAAAATAGATTTAGCCGTATATTTTTACCTGATTGAGCGTGAATAATATGAAATAAAGGGACAATTATCCAATTTCCGATTTCAATTGGCGGCCGATTTGGGATCAGGGAGATTGAGACGGAGTTGCGACGAGAATTAGAAAAAAAGGCGGCTTTGCGTTGTATTAGTTTTAGGAAAATTGTGCTAATTGGTCCTCAATTTATGGTCTTTATTTCAACTTGATATCTTACTCATTTTCTCCATAGTACTATTACTTGCCCTCGGTCCCATTTCTCTCAAAATTCATTTGTTTAAAATTCATTTTTAATCTCACATTTTTAAATATACATTCTCCATCAATCTGCTATTCCAAAATAAGACTCAAACAAAGCCTAATATTTTAATTTTACAATGCATTCGTTCGTCCCGAATGTTAAAATGTCGGATAGATATTAAAAACCTTATTATTAATTAAAAAAACAAAAAAACTTTCAAGAGAAATCAACAAGTCGAATAAATTCAATAGGAACAAAACAAGCAAGAGGGGTGGGACATGTCGTGTTTTGTGAATCTCACATCAAAACAAACAAGCATGCGAGATTCATAGAGGGTTATGAACTTTCATGTCATCACTCAGTAGGGACACTTGCATTGCAAATTGATTAACAATTTACTGTAAATGAGTAAAAATAATTTCTTGAATACAGCATATTGGAAAATAATTTCCTCGAGGCAACTCTCATTTAGTTAACAACATTCTGTTAAAAGGTCACATGAATAAATAGATTTATTATAGTATGATTCTTTTTTTACTTTTAAGTAAAAGCCAACAAAAGGAGACAGTAGACACACTGGGAAAGATTGAGTGCACTCTCATTTGAGGCATGAATAGGCCAATGATTTTTCCTCGACCAATTCCTTTGCTGTGGCATCCATCTTCGCCCTCGAAAATTCATCTATCTTGAGCCCTGCAAAGAGAACACCATTTAGTGCTTGTTTGGTAGGAATTTTGATAGGTGATTTTTTGACCGTTAGAGAGAAAGTGGGTCTACCCGTGAGAGAAAAATTCAAAAATGACGACTGAAATAGTGAAATAATGGTCAAAAAATTAATTTTAATTGGCTTTTAAACCCTACCAAACAAGCTCTTAGCCTTTGATCATTGTCATGTTGTGAAGAACATATATTGTTCTTGTAAAATCGATACTAACCTTGCACAATCGACCATTCTCCTTTCTCGCAAGTAACTGGGAAAGAATAAATTATGCCAGGCGGGACACCATAAGAGCCATCAGAATACACTCCCATTGACACCCAAGTGCCCTGGACAAAAGATGAAAAGGTAACAAATAAAATGAATATAAGATGAAGCCAATATAAATATGTTTATTAAACGTTCAATGTAAACTAAGACCTTTGGAGTTCCAAGAACCCAATCATGCACATGATCGCAAGCGGCGCTTGCAGCAGATAGTGCACTGGATAGTTTTCGGGCTTTTATGATGTCTGCACCCCGCTGCTGGACGGTTGTGATGAACTTGGCATTTAACCTAACATATTCATTGGAAAGGTCACTGAACAAAATGAAGAATCAAGTCAATGTATAAATGTAATACAAGATAAGATAGCAGAGGATGCCGGGGCATTTAATCACAACCAGATTGTTTACTTGAATTTTACATCAAGGACAAGGAACAATAAACCAATGCCAGCATAGTATTTTGTCAGCTTTAAATAGAGCTCCAGGCTAATTGGCGATTATCCTATGGGATGAGAAAGAACTCAAGTTTTCCTCAATGTTGTTTCTATTTTTTCTGTGGCATTGCCCTTTAGTTTCTTTTCTTTTGTGCCTTTTGTCCTGATTATGTAAGCATCACCAATTACATGGCCAAGAGAACAATTGACAACTGAAGAACATATCCTTATCTAAGAGTTTTTAAGAATAATAGGTTTATTATTTTCAACCCCATTACTATAACTGATAGCAGCATGCTAATAGCCCCATGAGTGATTTTCCTTGGAAGAGGTGAAAAAGGAATTTTTTTTAGGTTCCCGTGGGGAGGAAGGTAGTTGAGCATATGAATATGAATTTGTATCAAATTAGACTGAACAATTTAGAGAGTTACCAACAATCATCTCCAACAAGTTCTCTAACAGGTTTCAGTCCATTTCCGGTGTCTACAGTCGCATGATTAACATCTGGATATTGAGTGGATGAGTGATTCCCCCATATAATCACATTCTTCACATCACCAGCGTTAATATTCAGCCTTTCTGAAATCTGACCTAGAGCCCTGTTGTGATCAAGTCTTGTAAGGCAGGTGATGTTTTTCTCTGGGAATGAAGGAGCAAATTCTTTCAAAATGAGTGCATTGGTATTAGCAGGATTAGCAACCACCAACACCTGTCAATAGTGATTGAAGGCATTAGCTACAAGGAAAATGATGTCATGGTTAACTTTTTGTACACGGGAAAGTTTATCGATGTCAGGAAATCCAAAAACAGCTCAACCAACGCAACATTTAGGTTTCTTGCACAGATAAGAAGTGTATGCATGACTTTCCACGTGTCTAGAAATTCTAGAGTAGAAAAGATTGAGGTCAATCTTTTCCTCTCCAGGAGACATTTACCTTGCAATCTGGGGCAGCGTGTTTCTCTAACGCTGAGGCTTGAGCCTTGTAGATGGATACATTTTTGGACATTACCTCCTTCCTTTCCATTCCTTCCTTCCGTGGGAATCCACCAACCATGACGGCAATGTCTACACCTTTACAAGCTTCAATAACATCTGTTGTGGCTACGACACCTGCAACAGCCATATTATTCAGCAAATTTACATATATGTTGGGTAGCAATTGATGTATCCTGATTGAATTAGAATCTTAGAGTAAAATTGTGACATTTAAATATAATTTGTATGAGCAATCATTGCGAAATCCACTTTTAATTAAGCCTATATGAGGAGAGGAAATTGTAGTTCTGAGGTTTGAATTAGTCCTTGTTGATAATTATAACCATCATGGAAAGGCATACCTTTGAGAAGTGGAAAAGCAGCATCGATCAATTCCATCTTCACCCCCTTCAACGCCTCAGCAGCTGGTTCAATATCAAGCATGTGTATGATTACAGGTTGATCAGGACCTAGCATGGCCCCTCTAGCAATCATGGGAACAAGAGCATAGCCAATTTGGCCTGTGGAACAATTTCGGGTAAAGCATCAGAAGGTATCGCCATGTTACATCCCAACTCAAACATTTTCAATCCACACACAATTTAGATCAGGTAAAAATTAAAAATGCAGCAAAGGAACACGTCATATATTTGTTAGTAATGACAGCTCAGACACACAAGTAAAAGCCTATGATGACAGAGAATTGGGACTTGAAACTCAAATTCTTGAAAAATAAATATAAATTTGGATGAAATCATTTCTAGTTCGAATTTGAAGGCCTCAATTCCATGCAATAAAATGTAAATTAAATTGAACTAATCAAGATTTTGATAATAAAATAGGCTAATTCTGCACATTAGTATATAACTCGTGCCTGCAGCGCCAGTAACAAGCACCGTAACAGGTTCCTTTTCTACATTCAAGAAACCCCATATGTGTCTCACAATCTTCCATGACAAGTATGCACAGCCCAAAAGAACAAGAGGCTTTTCCATGGACACCAAATACTCCATTTCACAGGAAAAAAACAGCGAAATATCAAAGCCTCTTGTTCACTACTTAAACATTTATATAGAAACCCAATACAAAAATCAAATTGAGAATGGGGGAAACAGTTGAAAACAAGGCAACTAAAGAGCAAGACAAAATCCATAAGTTTTGAAATAGCATAACATACCCTCCTTTCAAAGAAAAGAACATAATAACACAATGCAACAACATATACTCAATTAATCATACACAATCTTGGTGCCCACGTAATTTAAGTGCATGTATTGCTTGTTTTAATGCAGAAAACAAATTACCAGCAGCACCAGTGACTAGAAATCTGATGGGGTCTTTTGCCATGGCTTAGAGGAAACGAGAGTTGTGCTTTGGATAATGAAATAAGGAGAAATTTCCGAAATCCTATATGTAGTGATCGCGTGTAGAGAGTGCAAGGATCGAGATAAATCGCATTTCGAGGTGGATATAGTGATAAGTATTGGCGTCATGATGTAAAAGGCAGCCATTACGGTTGCTGAAAAGTTGAAGTTGGTTGATCATCACGGATTTGCTCCACTGAAGTTGGTTCAAAATAATGAAAACTATTTATAGCGTTCTTTCATTTTGACCATCAAACTTATTATTTTTTTTTTTTGTAAATTAATCATTTGGATTTTGTTTTTGTTTCAATTTAAGTAGTTGTCTTGTTAAATAAACGACGGTATTGCTAGTGAAGATGATTTGGACTGTAAAAAAGTATACAAATAGATTTTTCATTTCACTTATCTTGCTTATTTAAGCAAAAAGTAATGTTAATGCAACAATTCCAGTGCCTAGTATCGACTTAGATTAAAAACACGCAGTCATCTGACGATCTAGATTATTAGTGGTGCTACATAGCTCTATTCTATTATTAAGAAAATGCCATCCTACGACAATTTGGACAACAATTCAAGTAGGGTTTGTCTGAAAATTGAGTTCACAATTCACGTAGGACTTGTCCTAAAATTAAGTAATCAAAGAACCTTAAAATAAACAATGAGTGAAGTTATCATCGGAGTACAGGGCAAGAACAAGAGTCATCATTTTATGAAAGATCTCTATCAGTGGGAGTGAGGGAAAGTTTTGTTCCAACATTAATGTCTTGACATGTTAAATTATTTTATTGATACTTATTAATATTTGAAATGTTCTGAGATGCTTTACTTGTTACTAAAAAGTCCTTGAAAAAACGGTAGTTGTAATTTGTTGATAAGTGCATTTTGTGCACTTATTTGGAGCATATTACTAAGTTTTTATATCATGGGAATGTTGATATTTCCTTAATTTGGGTTAATTTTCACTTATTTCAGTGATGAACTTGTTTCTAATGCAAGTGGAAAAGAAGAAATTGGGAAATTCAAAGTATGAGGCCTAAATTACAACATTTTAATAGTTGATTCGGACCACAAAATGAAGATTAAATATGTTGTGCATTCAATTGGATACAATTAAACATCGAAGGGTTGAAGTTGCAAGAGAAATAATTTAAAAGAATCAAGAATTAAATTTAGGAACTAAAATACAACATTCAAAAATTTTTATAATTGAGAGACTACACAGTTATTTAGAGTGGGGGACCACCCAACATCAAGGAACAATTACTGAGGCAAAGAATTTAGCCCGGGCACGACGAAAAAATTCTTGTTTCCTTATTCGATTGAAATTCTTATCGAAACAAATCTTGGGACGTATTTTAAAACCCTAAGACCGTCCCTAAGCAAGGGGACATGCATTATAACGCATTCACAAGGGTTTGAGAATAGGGAAGGAGGCAAGGAACGCCAAGATTAATTGGAAGAACCGAAGATTCAATTGAAAATTTAATTTGGTGATATCATTTCTTCAATACTATTTGTGTTTTTCCTTCCCATCATGTCTAGCTAGATTTATTTGTATTAGGGGAATAACGAACCATATGGTATGAGTTTTTAATCTTGAATTTTACATGTTTGACATTCAAAAACACGTTTTTAAGTATTAAATGGTTTATATGAATTTATTTTCTCCATGATTATTGTGCACGGTAATTATGTGAATATGATGGCTTATTTTATGCTTTTGAAAGAAGAAAAATAGGCTCGACATGGTATAAATCATCGTGGGGTCCAATAGAGGATAGAAATATACCGCTATACTCTATGTGAATCTTTAAGTGTTCATAAAAAAACATGCATTATTGCGTATTCGCATCCATCATAAAAATATAGTTGGATCATATATGAGAATATATGTAACGTTGCTCGAGACAGATTGCTGAATAAAATAAAAACATTGACTTGTCAAAATTCAATTGTGTTGTCAAAGTGTAAAACCAAGTTTAAAAGGGATTTGCATTGGGATTTGCAATCCTAGTACATTTATCATTCATTATAACACTTCAACTTGTATTCAACACAACTTGCATCTAATTTAGTTAATACATTCATAATTGCATGCATAATTTATTTTGTTATAATTTCATCAAAACACATTTTCATCATTCTTGTTTCGATTAAGGTCGCGGTAATTAAAATCGAACATAATCAATCCCTGTGAAACGATATTCGGAATCAACATCTACTCTATTACTTGTTAACGAACTGTACACTTGCGGTGTTTTTAAATCGAAAAATATTTTCATCAACACTCGTGATGATGAAGCATTTTGAACATTTCACTGAACATGCCAAAATGATTGAACCGTATCGAGTGCCAAATGCCAATAACTCAACTTGTCCAACAATATTTGTGTCAATTGCCATTCTAACAAACTATGGTAAGTAGTTGGCACCAACATTCAGCCAACAAAGCCTAAACGCGGTATAGCTTTTAAGAACATTTTCAAACGACTCTTTATTTTTAAAGAGCATATTCTATCATTTGGAGAGTATCTATACATTTAGAGAGTTAAAATTTTGAAATATTCCAACAAACTCAAGAAATATTTATTATTTTTCTCTATCTTTTATTTTAACTAATTTTCTTTAAATTATTTTATTATTTTTTTACATTGAAAATTAAAACATTTTGAATGCATTTAATTATAGAGAGCGAGCATTTGGAGTGCTAAACTAACACTCTAAATTAAAATATTAATTTAAAGAGATTTTTGTAGCATGACTTTAAATATTAACTCTTTAAAATAGAAAGTATCTCATGTTCAAAGGGCATCTTGGAGTTACTCTAATACGGCTTTTAAAAATTGCAATTTGCTATAAAGGGTAATAAATACTATGGAAATTTGCAATAGAGGTCCTAATCCTTCAAAATGCAGCGTGATCTCAAATCTTAAAATTTTAATAGCTATGTTTCAAATCTTTCAACAAATATGCGATATAAGGATCTCTGGATTGATTCTATCCAAAGGATCATTAATTGACTAAAAGTCTTGCAATTGACCAAGTTTATCACATGTGCGAAATTGTAACTCTACATTTTTCTCATCTAAAATAAAAGTAAACATAAGAAATAACTTCTCACGTTGGGGGTTTTTCCAAATTGGATTAGAATTGGTTGTACTACACGTTGGAGACTTTTCCAAGTTGGATTAGAAGCGGTTGTACCATCGTGATAAGGGAGAAGGCGCTTGTTTTAAACATTTGATGATGGAGGAACTATCGACATTGTTGTCGAGCTACCTTGGTTTACCCGAGTCTCATATCCAAGCAATAATCAATGATTTCAATTTGGATTTCTTCGATATTATTGTCGCCATGGAAATCATCGCTTTTATCTCCACAATGCTCACCATATGGTAGAGGTTGTTGAACTTTTAATTTTTTGATGGAGAATCAAGGAAAAAAGTGTCTTTTCCCCCTCCAGCATAGGTAGGGGATATTTTAATGAAGGTGAGGTTCCCATTGGGGTGGGTGAAGAAGATAAAGAAATATATTTCTTTTTTATTCTGTTTTTCGCCTTCTTTTGTTGCTTTTTATTTAATTATTTTAGATGGGGAAATCTAGAGTTATTATTATGTCAATTTAAAAATGACTGAATGCCTGATTTTTGGTCAACTAATGATTCTTTGGATAGAATATAAGTCAAGAGTTCCTTATATCACATATTTATTGAAAGGTTTGGAATGTATTTACTAGAATTTAAAGGTTTAGGACCTCTACTACAAATTTCTCTAAAATATTATTTGCAATTTGCTTTAAGTCCTTGTTTGAACTCCATTCTTCCAAAAATTCATTTTCAACCACACATTTTTTAATAAAATAATATTTCACACAAACTCAAAACTTTTCCTTAATTTTGACAACACATTTCTCATCAATCACTATTTAAAAATACATTCTTTCACTTAAAATGGAGCTCAAACAAAGGCTAAATGATAATAAATAATAGGGGAATTTTCAAAGTTGTCATTTTCACTTTATGTGAGCAAAAATGTCACTTTTTGGTATGAAATGTCCAAATTACCTTTAATGACATATTTTTATTAGCATTTAATGCTTGATTTGAAGAAGTTGATTATGTTGATGTGATAATTTATTTTGTGTATAAAAAATATAGATAAATGTGTATTATATTGATTAATATGAATTTGTGTTAATAAAAAAAGATAAAAGAAATTAAAAAATGAAACATAAACAAATATATCTTCTTCTTCCCATACAAACTGTAATTTTTCTCATCTTCTTCATTTTCATTGATGAAGAAGATTTTTCTCTTATATTCATAATCCATTTTAAAAGGTTAGTTATTAGAAATTATTTATATTTTACTTCTACAGTTTACCATTTTGTAAATGTTAAATACAACCTGGACATATTTATTTGAAATTTTTGAAACTATTATTCAATGATTTCTTTATTTTTGAATCCTTCACAAATGTGATTATCACCATTAAAGTTTTGAGTACTTTCTTCTATTCAAACCAAATAATGTCTCTTCAATGACAAGGCCAATTTGACATTTTTCATTTAGCTCAATACTAATGATTACATTTAATGTGTTGTGTTGAAAAATCTGTTCCGCCCACTTTCTGCTTCTCGATATTTTTGACGGTTCAATTGTCGAATTTAACATTTACAAACCGTCGGGTTA